TAATGAGGATGAACTTTTGAATCCAAGTTTTAACTGAAGCGCAAATTGACCTCCAAAGAAAGAATGATTTAGTATAAATTAAAAGAGTTTTTATTAAGGCTTACATATTTTAAATTTTTTAAAAAATATATATTTTATAAAATAACAATATTTAATTTTTAAATAAAGCTGTAACTAATTACGAAATGTTACATTAAGCTCTCGCAATAGTAATTAAAACTAAATAATACTGAATGTTACACTTAATTTCTTCGTTCAGAGAAATTTAAAAACTTAGCGATACAGATGGAGGGTGGAATAATTTTTTTAATGAGGGCCAACTTTAAAATAATTACCTTGGAGGCTAATTTTCATTTCACTTAAAATTAAATTAGGAAGAAACTTAAAAGATTAATTTAGTAGCATACAATTAAGTTGGGGGGATGGTACATACCTCAGTGCCCCTCCCCTGTATCCGCCACTACTTTGGGGGGGGGGATCAAAATTTTTAACTACATTTCATACACTCCTTCACATCTCCCATTATACGTTGCCGTATATGTGTGGTTTTGACAAGTAGAAATGGAAGTTTTCATACAGAGCTTCGAGAAGTAAGAAGAATCTATATTCGATGCATTTCTTGATCAATTACATAAAGAATTGTATGAGTGTAAAATACACTTTTCAGTGCATGGTTTTTGCAAAATAAATTCATCTTTTCGTAAATAAATTTTTTTAATAAAAAGATTTAATCGTATCAGAGTCTGTTAACGTCTAAAATGAGAATTATTGAGAAATTTAATTCAAAATTCTGTCAAAATTAAACTTTCAAAACAAGTTATTAAAAATTACTTGATGAACATTAAATGGCTGAATGAAAATCTTCATACATTTGTCCTTTTTCTCTCTCAATTTTATACAATTGAGAGTGGTTTTTTTGTAAAAATGAAAGAAAAGTTCTTATATTATAAATCCATCCAGAAAATTAAGAATTCTTACCCGAAACTAAGGTATTAAAACATTTGTTGACATTTTTTAAGCATACTTTGTGTTTATCCATTTGTGACGTATAAAAAGTCATTAGTTTAGAATTTTTATGTACTAAAATAATAAAATATTGATGTAATATTAAGTTTTTAATTATTAGAGCTAAAAAACCAATTAGTTTCCAAATCACTGTATTCATTGCATCATTACATAAGTCACATTCGAAAAATGATTGAATTGGAATAAGAATTCTTGCCTTCGAAATGAGAAGGTATCGAAATGTGTATTACTCTTTATTTCCTATTAAACGCTTTTTTTTATAAAAAAAAAATATATTCCTAAATACTTTTTTTTACTGCCTTAACTTTTAGTAATTTCTGTGTTATTTAATAAGTGGTTTTTTCTTAAGGAAAGAAGCTTGAGAAAATTGTGGTGTCCCTTTCCTCTGTGTCGAGAAAAGGTTTGCCAGTATATGATCAGAGGAGACCTGTATGCATAAGTGAGATGTAGGAGCGGGAAATGAGCTCCGCGATAGAGGGTGAAGTGAAAAATAAATGTTATTTGTTAAAGACAGGGTCTTCATTTGAATATTATTGTCTGCGTAAACTAGCGAAAAAAGGTCATCACAGTTCTGATATTACAGCCATCCCTCCTTCTTTTACACAAGGTTGTTCCTTTTTTTGTTGTTGTTTGTTTATAATTCTGTAGAGATTATGATTACTTATCACGAACCACAAAGCTCTTTCTAAATTTCTATTTGTCACAATGGTTAACTTATCACATTTGTGTGTGTGTGCAAACTAGGAATAAGTATAGAAAACTGTATGAATATGAACTGCAACAATACATGTACGAAATAAGAATATTTAGAGAATAAAACCGAGATAAAAAAAAAGTAATAATGTGTGTTTTGGAATAACAGAAAAATAAATTAATTAATTCTGATTTTTCTGATTGAATCAGAATTAATCAGAATTCTGACTAATTCTGATTTTTCTAATTCAGATAGTATGCTAAAGATGTAGACAAAATGAGCACCAGATATTTCTCTTACATAAACTGTATTTATTTTTTTAAAACACAATTTAATTAGAACACAAAAAATTTGAAAGTAGTCTAGTGTCACAAACGAAATTCTAATTTAGAACATAATTTGTCAGTTCACAAGATCATTGTTTCTCATTTCAAATACTGAAATATTTAGTTTTTCCTCTTGGATTTTTCCAGGATGTTTGGAACAAAATTTGTAATTCGAAAATAATGAGTATTCACTTTTCTGTGTTATTTCACCTCCGATTCATTTTTCAGGAAATTTCGTTCTTCGTTTCAGTAGCGGAAAGGAGGAAAATAAGCAGAAAACTAATTTCATTCGACATTAAATTGATATACGTAGGTGTTTAGAAATGTTTATCAGTTGACGATGCGAATTATCATATCAATGTTAAAAGATACTGTCACTGAAAACATATTCATAAACATTGTATAAAATCATGATCATATTAATACGAAAATAAAGCAAAGCTACAAACAATGATGACGAATGCAAAAAGCGATGGTGATGAACAATAGATGTAACTGTTTGTGATTTATTTCTTAGTTTGAAATGCTTTGAAAGCTATTTTATCTTGAAAAAGAGAAAGTAAATGCTATTCGTGAAATGAATTTTATCCAACGTAAATGACAACTACTTTGACGATATTGTTGTTGTGAAATATTTATTTCCATAAACACTAAATCGTTTCCTATATCATATTAAGTTATTTTTCAAGCAAAAGTGAAAGGCAGGAGGCTTTCTTGTTGTATTAATACTTTATCATTAGCTGGTGTCGATAGTTAACGTCGGAAGAAAATATGTCGCAGTCATTAGACATTTTATTTTGATGTATCTTTGATCATGAATAAATATCTAATATATCTTTCCGAAAGGCGATTTTCCTTTTAATCTAATTCTGATTGAAGGCAGCACTTTTCAAGGCCACCAAGACATATTTTCCCGTTGAAATATACTGCGAAACCGATATAAGAATAATACCTCATGTTGCTTACAAATAATCTCCCTTTTACTTTCATCTCTCCTGTCTTATAAATACCAATTTAATTCATTAAGTTTAGCGAATACGTCTGTTACTCGTAATTATGTAAGCTTCAAAACAATTTTTAGATTGCCCAACGATTTTCTAATTCGCTCCTATCCCCTAACTACTCATGCATTGCGACTTCTTCACGGATTTCCACAAGTCTTGTTTTTTATTTTCCTTCTCAATACCTTACATACTTAAGTATGCAGAAAAGATTAACGATTGCTCAATATCTCTTCGCAAAGTTTTTCAAATAAACGTGGCTGTAGCGGTCTTGATTTTAATACATTTACTGTTTTAACAGTAATGTTCAAAATGTTTTTTAAATTATAGCTGGCGTTATAGATTTTGATACCAATACTTCTCTGTGAAAGTTGGAGTGAGTCCATGATGCTTTTGACTAGCTGGAAGTCCTTGAGTCCTAACACTGCTTTTTTAAATTTAACGCACATAGCTCGTTCACTATCTGTACATATACCAACTCAGTTCATCCGGTCTAAATATTTGGATTTTAAAATTGCGTTAAATCTTGAATATTTCTACTCTAGTTTTTCGAATAATTTGATCACAAAATAACATATCTTCATAAGATTCGTTGTTCCATATGAACGTAGGAAAACAAACAGCTGGACACAAATCTTGTACATCAGCAGATTCGTACAGTTGTATAACGAGAAAAATTTACTTTTGGTAACTCTTCGAACCAGTTGATTTTCTATCCACTGGAAGATTTCATTCACTTACTCTAAGATTCTATATTTGTTGAAAATTGCTTTATTTCGACTCCTTTAAGCTCTTATTATTAAACATAACTACAACTGAGAACACTAAAATCTCTCCAATTGTGTATGTGGCTTACCAGTTTTCGCAATTTGACAATTCATCAGATATGAAGCGCGTCTAGCATTTTCATTGTTATTGGTAAAATACAAAAGTTTTATTTTTGATATTTTCTACACGTCCAGCCATTTTTTGGAAAATTCGAGAACCTGATGTTTTAAATAGGGATGCTTTGTCTGAAAGTACCGACTTAATTTACTTGGGCGCATGTTTTTTTTTTGCATTTTATTGCAAACAACACATCAAGTTAGAGATTATCTTCATCTACATTCCATGAAAATCCTAATACCGATAATCATCTTTTCTTACTTCTTTCTTTCGTTTCGGTATCCTTAAATTTGAGCTTGAAAATTATTTTTGGTCTGTAATTGGTGCCTTATTTATTAGCCACTTACCCATAACGTAAGTGAGATAAAATATAACAGAAAGCAACAAAAAATAAACAATATGGGTGATGCAAATGATAATGAAAGGCTTTGAAATTAATGCGTACGCAAACTGAATTAAACGTTCATAGCGAAGAGGAATTTCTGATTAGGTGGGTGGGGCCTGAAATCCGGCATGGAAACGTAACCTTGAGTAAAACAGGTGACGCGACAGATGCATCGTAGAACAAAAGCTGATTTTTTATATACTTCATCCCGCACTTTAAAAAGACACATTTTTTTCCTTCGTTTTTTATCATTCGACAAGAATCGCTTGTTTGCATATTACGCTTTTTTTTTTGGGGGGGGGGGCATTTTTGCTATCATGTGGCTTGATGAAGATTTTAAAGCCCACATAACATTTTTGCAAATTATGGAAATACGTTCAGTCAAGTCGCGACCCATCAAAAATTGACTCGCAACCCACAGTTTGAAAAACACTACCCTGGATGAAGGGCACCCGTTATTGTCTAGGAAATATTCTTCAACGGCGATCCAAGCTGCACTGTCGTTTGCGAATTGCCATCCTTTCTAGGTTTTCTTGATAATCGTAAGAGAAGAAATCGGAGCTACACGGGGGATGTACGAGGATGTCCCATCGGGAAATAGCAGCAACAAAATTTTAAATAGTGAGACAGCGCTTGTGAATAATTCAGCGGATTCAATATAATCAGACGTAGGCTTTTACAATTGGCCATACCATGCTGAAAGCACCGGTTCTCGTCCGATCATCAAAGTTAAGCATCAAAGTGCACGGTCAGTACTTGGAAGGGTGACAGCCTGGGTGAGCCCTCGTGTCATTGGTTTTTTTTTTTTTTTTTTAATTCTTTTTTATTTTCCGATCTACTTTTTATTTCTGGGCAAGAGTAGATTCTGAAGTTCAGTTCACCTAATATTTTTTCCAGCCAGATAGGTGATTAAAACTCGAAAGGGTTAAGAACCCCAAAAGGCCTTTCAATTTTTGCCCGTAGTAGCCACACGAGGCCGGGCTTTGTCAAGCAACAAAATAATCCCTTTGGACAATATGCAGCGTTGAATGTTCATAATTTCTGTTTTCGGTTTGTGTATGGTTGTATTACCTTTCATTGAGAAGCGTGTGGACCGTTTCTTTGCTGATGGCCAATGTTGCCACTATCTCGCGAATTGTAATTCACCGATTGTGCATCATCAGATTGTCCACTGCATTAATAGTTTCATGGGTGATGATCCCGTGCATTTAACCAGGTCGAAGCCTGTTGTCTCCGTACTTATTCGTCTTTTGCAAAATTTGCTGCATCATCAGAACACTGAAGTGCGTGAAATATACTTCTTCCGTTACACATTTGTAGACAATGACAAGTCTTAACTAGATTCTCCTTTAATGCAATTAAAAACTGTACAACTGTATATTGATTATTTATGAAGGCATCCATGATCCGACAGAGTGATGTCTGCTCATGGTTCGTTAAAATAGTAAAATGAGTTTCTACAATTAAAACTTAAAAAAAAACACCTTTATTATAGAACTAAAAGGCTTATAGCTCTACGAAGGAGGCCTACGGTTGCTGCTCCCTTGATATTCCACCTTCTACTGTATTCAAATACGTTCTTTAATCCCTCCTCACAGGCGGTATTTCTAGCCCCACGTAGCAGAGGCTTCTGAATAATTTTCCGGGGGGGGGGGGGCGTTACGTCTCACTACAAAGCTCTGACGTTACATTGTGGGGAGACGTAGCTGCTCAAACCCTTAAAAGTAACACTTAAAATATTCACACAAAACAAAATTAGCTCATAATCATTAACAATAAATGCATAATAAGAATAATCATAAAAATAAACAACATTTAATACCTTTAAGACATTCAAAAATCAAATATCAAATTCACATCCTTCAAATCATTAATTATCGTATACAAATAGAAATCGAATTCATATATATTCCAAATCTCTAATTTCATATTTCAAAACATCAAATTCATATCTTCCACAGTATTAATTTCATA